CGATGCATATTCGAAATGTACCGGAAATAAAAATAGAACTTCTGATTTAAAAAATGATGAATAAGTTATGTTAAACAATTGGTTTATACTTTATCGAATTATACTGGAAATTTCTCAAAATTGAAAAATAAAGATAATAATCCTCATTGGAGACAATTGTTTAAAAACTGCTCGTTTCTCAATAAATGACTTTATTCTGTCAATTCACCTTCGAATCCCTGATTGTCGTGGATTTCTCTGGGCGGACCGGTCATATCTTGACCTTCGAGCACCGCGAGGAGACACTGGTGTATGCAAATGTACTGTTGCTCGGTCTGGACCATCCAGACGCGTTCTTTCCTCATCGCCCAGACGATCCCGAAGATGTCGACGTACTTGGACACAAGTATTTGTTGGAGTATTCTGTCCAACGTGATAAACGTGCCGCTGCGACCAACGCCTGCGCTACAGTGGACCACGATTGGCCTCTGATCCGGCCTGACCCTTTCCCTGAACGCCCGTACGAATCTGGCCAACGTTTGAGGCGGACTAGGAACGCCGAAGTCAGGCCAAGTCGTGAAATGGAAGTGTTGAATCACTCGCTTCACGTCTCCCTGTTGAACAAACACAGTATCATGGTGACAAAGTTGTTTCTGTAACAGTGCCGTCGTTTGCATTTGATTATGCCATGATATGATATGAATATGATGAAATAAAGAATGCAATATATTTTATTATTAACTATGATCTTCATATTAATATTCAGCACTCACTCTGCATAGCATAAACTCCGTGATGCTCCAATCAGGATAATGTGTTTCATTCAGTATGGTAACACAAATATCGCCGTAATAAACAGGATGGGTATCCATTGGCCAATAGTGGTCGCACTTTTCCCTGCCTTTCTCGATGCACCTTGTCAGCATTACTATCGCCCTGCTGTTACTCTCCCAAACCATTCTCCAGAAATCGTCGCGGGTCGAGTGCAGGGGACCTTGGGTGACGATAAATTCGCGCGGAGAGTTGTGACCCTGTGGCAAACAATATCGCTCAATTGAATTATCTAAAAAGTCGATAAAATTCTCTAGTCATTAAGTAATCTTACTGGAACGTAATTAGCGTTGATATAATCAGAACCCTCTTCGTCGTCCACGGGTTGTAACTTAAATCTGCTATGGTCGTAGGGTAAAATATTCGTGAAACGGTTCTTCGGCCTGTTACACGGTAGATCAGCAGCAGTGCAAGGTTGATCCCTGCCGACGTGTTTCAGTTCCTCGAACTCCTCCGAGAAACGGAAATCTGAGTCAGCGGACATCGTGCGATAGTGTTCCGTAAAATCTTCTATCTTAATTGGTCGACTGCAAACAAAATTGTTTAATCGTTAGCATAATTTTAATTATCCATTTTCTTATAATATTTGTATAATTGCATGTGTACCTAGTTTCAATAACACTGTCCGGTAAAGATAAGTTGTCCGTGGTCCTCGTTTCGGTTGTTTTACGCCCTTGACTCCTCCGTCGCCTGACCAGAAGTCCAATGCCCAACAAAGCCAACAAAAGCACTATTGGAACCGTGACTCCAACTATGATAGCCGTGTTGTCCTTATCTATTCGAATACAATCAAATTTCATTTTATTAAAACTATTGTCATATTCTTAATGAAAAATTTCGTTTGGAATTGCAATCGTTAATTCGCGTTCTATCTAGGTTCTAGCCATTCTCTTACCTGCCAGTAGCAATCCTTGAGCAGACATGTATACGAAATAACGAGGTATGAATTTAGCAAGCTTTCTATAGTTATACGCAGTGAAGATTATTCATTTATTACTGAATTTCATATTTCACGGATTGAATTTACCAGAGGATAATTAAAAAGAAAAAAAATGGAGAGAATATGATTTGCATAAAGAGAAATAATATAGAATGGATAAAAAAATTAAAACAAGCACTGCTGCTTAATTAATTTATTAACACTGCAACAAGCACGATCGTTCTCACCTGTTTGTATCGGGAAACTGTAGCTGGTATCCGTGAATTTGTCCGGCGCGGTGAATGCACGCACTTTTACCCTGTAAGTGGATCCAGATTTCAAAGGCCCATTGCAGTATCCGATTTTGTTGTCGCAGTTCTCGGAGCCGATCGTGAAATCTTCCACGGACCCGTTTTTGAACGGATAGTACGGTTCCATCACCTGCGAACAAGTTGACAACATTATTCGTATCGACGACACGTGTGTTAAATAAATTAGCGATTTCAAATTGAATTGCAGACAGGTATAAATTAAAAGAGTGAAATTCTATTTTTAGATAATCCGTATCCGGAGAACTGCTTCGTTTCCTAGCAAAACAGGAACATGACAACAATAAACGGTATCACGTAATACTTTTTTTATGTATGTAGGTAAGTAAGTAACTCGCGTTCAGATGATTCTTGGATGCGCATATTGAATCACATAAACGTCTTGCGAAATTGTTCATGTTTTTAAACGTTTTGATTTATGTGTATAGTAATTATAACGTATTCCGACTCAAGGTAATTTCTCAAGGACATTGAAAATAAAAACTATAAGTAGATTGGCTACTATTTTTTGAGAAAATAAATGATCTGTTTAATAAATACTTGTCTTAACTAATTTCAACATCCAGAATTCAAATTTACCTTTTTAACAAATTTCCCTGCTTTTAAAATCAAATCCTGCACGATATTCATGGTGATTGAATAAAATATTCAATTTATTATTAAAAGAAATAAATACGAATTCCCGGAACTTCAAAAAATATTCTTTAACTCGATTGCAAGAAACACCTACATTCTTCTGCCGTAAGTATTCTTCAATTTTTTTACTAAAAAATTATATCCTGCAGCAATAGACAACATCAATTTTAAACTTGCACTCAATCTTTTAATATATTTTTGTACTGTTTTCGTATTGTTTTGCTTATTTCAAACATCACGTTTTTCATTTCTATTACAATGTTCAATCCAGCAATTAAAATGTTCCTGTAACACTTTACGATCACTTTATGTAATTATGAATGCTGTCAATCGAATTTCGCGTTTCACCATTACGACAGCGCGGCTGGAACGCAAACGACGGGCTAGGATCACGCGCGTGCACTGATCGACTGGGTTACAACGTTGATAGCTACGTAATGCAGCAACTGCAGGAACACGATTGTTTATGCGTGGTCTTGAGTCCACGTACGTGTATCTGTTCGCGTTGCCTGTTCGTGATCCCGCAAGTCAACGAGGCTCGCTCACCGTAATGCGCCGCATTAACTATTTTACATCTCCATTGCAATATCGCCTCGGTGACGCATATCGCCTCCGATCGCTCGACTTGCCGTGAAAAAATTTCATTGCCAATAAAAACTGGGCACTTTTTACATGATGCATTTTCAAAAAAGTATATCTTGTATTTGATGTAGTAACGTATCTTCGCAGGAGTGTAGTAGTGAAATAATTATCGTTCTTATAACAACCATTTACATACTAAATATTTTTGATACGTATAAAAAAAATATGTACTCAGTTTTGTCTACTATCAAATATACATGTATGTACCATAATAGTATATTTAAGATCGGGGCAACATACACATGTATGTATATCCTAAATGTGTTTTACCTGATAGGGTGGCCAGATACTGTAAGCCTGCACGTCCCTCCAGCTGGGCATCTCCAGGCCGGACGCGTTTTTGCTGTCATCCTCGGCCACGATGATCGTGTAGGACGTGACCGCGCCGTTCTGCTCGCTGAAGTAATTTTTCCTGAACCGTATTTGAATAGTAGTGCTGCTCCTGCAGACCTCCGTCGGGACAACCTGCGTGGATGGCTTCGGCGGTGCCAGAATCGGCATCTTTTGTTTCCAGACCGCCTCCGGGCCGTAGCCGATCTTCGTCTGAGCTTGGATGCGGAAAATATACGTCTTACCGGGTATTAGATTCTTAATCACTCCGCGGTATTCGTTCAGCTTGAAGTCTTGCATCTGTGTGTGGGCCGAACCCTAATAACAGAGGACAAACGTATTTCAATTCAATCACGCCTTTTCTTTAACTTTTAGTACTTCCGCGAAGCTCCGCGTGTTTAATCGTGGAGGTTTCGTTGTTCGTATTTAGTTTTTATTTCAAATCGCAGCACGCTTTCGATTTTGCGCGGCGTATATTCCACGAGGTGGGGCAATGGGACGTGAGTCACGAAGTCGATGCTAATGATCATTTTTCAAACGAACAATGCTCGTTCATTGCGATGCAACGTTTGTGTAACGTCTGATTAAATACGGTATTCTTGTTTATTTAGTAACGTGGAATGGCGGTCAAAGAATTTTATGATTACATAATATCGAAAGAATTATGATAATTTTTATGAACTCGAATGCTTGTCCGTATGCTCAATTTATTAGCATAAGATTCATGCTATTTCTTGGACTTACTTCTAAACCATATGTAATTGTATATTTTCTGATGATGCCATTCTGCTCTTGGATAGGCAATGACCACTCGAAACTGATGTCACTCGGTTGGATATCCGTGGGATGGAACTTCTCCACTTTTCCAGGATAGGATTCGCTGGTCGTGAAACTGGCGCTTACAGGATTCGATATCCGAAGATAGGAAGACGCGGTTCCGGAACGGACCACTAATGTGAACGTATAATTTCTATAAGGTTTCAGGTCGGAGATCGTGATCATGTTCACGGATGTGATATTCTGGTTGTAATTTCCCTCTGTGTTTATATACTGGACTTCGAAAGCGTCGTACTGTCCGCGAGGGATGTCCCAAGTCAGGCTGATTCTTGTGTCGTTGATATCGATCGCTTGGATCGATGTCACTGATTCCGGATCTGCAAACAAATTTTCTATGAAATTATAGGAATTACGTCCAAATGGAATAAAAT